ATGAGTTTGAATCTGCATTTTGGATGTTATTTTTAGCTGGAAGTACTGTGACTCAGCAAGATCATCAGTTGTAACCATCTTTAACCCTGTGTCTTTGAGAGGAATAACTCTGATTGAATTGTTAATTGCCAATTTGCTTCATGCCAGCATTGCATCTGTTTTGTGCGCTCCACATGGTTCTGCAGACAAACACTGTTTTATGGCTCAGCACAACAGACAGCCTTAAACAGAGCAGCTGTTTTCTGAGGAGTTTTATTTTCATACATCTGAGTCTCATCTTCCCAAAACTAAACCGAGATCTCTGTGCGAACAAAATGTTTTCTTCTGTAGACAGTCAACCTGGATTAGGATTCACAGACAACAAAACTAGCATGAAAAGAGGTTCAAAATATGAGAAATCACAGCTGAGCATCATCTCAGACGACACTCTTTTTTGAAATAACAAACCTGGAGACCTACCCTCTCCTCATGAACTTCATTCAAAAGAAGGTGACAGCAAGCTGAGAGAGATAATGAAAAAAAATCATATACATATGGACAAAAGGATGTTTGCTGTTTTTGATGATATAAATCCTGGATGATATGACACAATGATGCAACACAGACACTGCTCCAGCAACAAGAGAGCAGACCCATGAAGACTTTTTATTTAGTGAAAATACAGCAGAGATCCTTTTCTAAAGATGTATTTATTCAATCGTTACACTATCTGATAGTGTAGAGATACATGCAAGAGGAAATACTGAGTAATACATCTCCTTATCACCAGTACTTGCCACTTCTATTTCATACTATCATTTTCTGTCTGAAAGATTCATAAATATATGCTGTATCAGCCAAACCAACATTTCCATGTTTTCGTGGCTTCACATTTCCAATCAATGGATACATACTAGATAAAGTCGTATACATATCTTCCTAAATTTAATTTGACTGATTTTGTAAATGTTTTTTTAAAAAGTCATTCAAAAACGCCACATTTTCGGGAAATTGTGATGGATTTTTCACACATTTTTGAAATACATAATCAAAACAATTGTGTGATCCCGGCTATTTTCTGTACAGTATGAACCCTGTTTTCATGCTTGCTTTTGTCCAAACAGTGTTGTGATTTGTAATAGTTCTTCCTCTCTACTGTTAGATACATTGTTATGGACTAGACATCTGACATCTGGTGTGACCCCAGTGGACAAACTGCAGGCCAAAACTCATTTTGAAACTGTATCAGTGCTGTATCTTGTGCTGATGTGTGCAGCTCTTATGTCTCCCAGGAAAGATGTGCAGTTATGACTGCAAACCAGCAGAGGACTCCCCTGAGCCTCGAATGCAATCTGCCGCTGCTCTGAAAACTGAGTTCAATCTAAAAAGGGTATATTTTCCTCATTAGTCATTCACTCTTTTCAACACTCCTTTTAAAAGCATTGCTAGATAATGTCATTGCAATAGTCCACACATGAAACCAGCAGAAAACACAATAAACGTACAAAACATGAGGACAGAGTGTATCTTGCAGCCACATAACCTCAGCACATGACCTCTGGTTAAACTTAATTTTAATGCAAATCATGTGCTATATTTTCCTGACAGGAGCATGGAGGAGATACCTGTAAGGTTTCATGCTGCAGGAGAGATAAATGGGCTCTCAAGCTCAAGTGGCAATTATATGAGAGATCTATTTGTACTGCAGTGGCTGAAGATGTGGAAACACAAGGGTTTTTTCTACATTTCTACAAAGTATGATCTGTTGGGATTAATATTATTGCTGCTGCTAGCTGGATAAAAAAGGGAAACTTTTTTTTAAAAAGCTTGACATTAAGTATGGAACTTATCCTATTTTCTTTCATTATAGTCATGGGAAAACACAATTATGAATTGGAATTTTATGTTCAACAAATATTGATTATGATAAACTACAACATTTTACTTTTCACAAGTGTAATTATAGACCAAAGCAGCACCTGATACTTATTTCCTTCTACAGTAAAAACTGTCTTCAGAACATGAAAAGGAAAAGAAAGTGAAATGAGTTGAGAGGAACTGTAATATTTATCACCGAGCGTGCTGAGCTGTAAGCAGGCTCATTATATTGGTTTATCAGATGCGGCAGCAGGATCCTCGAGGGCTCTTCCAGCTCTCTGCTCAGCTCAGTACAAACTACTCTTAGACAATGTGACACCGCCATTTAAGAGAATGACGAAAAGGGAGCAGTGATGACCTTTCTGTGCTCCCTCTGATGGCAAGGGTCCCAAAAGATAAAAAAGCTGAGCCTTTCCGCCAAATGTTGCAGCTTTAGTAGCTGCTTACCTTGGCACTCTGCTGCATTGGATGTAAATGACTTGCTGCTGTTAGCCCTGCACCGTTGTGACTCGGCCTATAAATAAACTCCATGGTCCTCCTGGCTATCTGAAGGTCCTTTGCACATGCTCACCCACACATACACATGCACACACACACCCAAGGGAAACAAAAGCCATGCTCCCTGCTGTGACTAATGAAATGTGCTGACACGGTATGTTAGCAGGTCAACAGCGAAGACCCTCGACCATGTAAAGAGAGATAACAGGACCTCAATTAGTGACAGCAGACAAGTAAAAGCTGTAATGCAAGTTTTTTGTTTCGTAATTCTTATGGCTGGTGCTGTGAGAGTGTAGCAATGTGGAGTTTGTCGTACTGAGATGGAGCCAGACGGCGATCAGAGACACATAAGGTCAGAGCCGGGGGGCGAGAGGCCGGCAGCTGAATCTCACATTCAGACTGCCACATCCCACCATCTGTACCTCCCTGTACTGCTGTCAACACCCGCACGCGCACGTGCACGTGCACACACACACACACACACATACACACACACACACACACACACACACACACACACACACACACACACACACACACACACACACACAAACCTTCCTACAAATAGGAGATAGCAAGTCTCACCTTGACAAATACTTGTGCTTCAATGAATAGTTTGGGTTTTTGGAGAATATTTGCTTATTGTCAGTTGACTCCAGAAAGTCACGGCACCTGACAAAGAAACAGCCTTGCCCCTTATCCTAATGTAACTATTGTCAATGTTACAACTTGTTCTTTTTACAAATGTACACTCAAGCTGTAATGTCTATACATTCATATGTGTTTTGCTGGTAGATGCATTCTTTACCACTGGTAGCTGATTCCATCCCTTTCCAGTCAAGCTAAGCTAAGTGTTCCCTGGCAGATATTCACTCTTATCATCTAGGTCTTTGAAAGAAAGTCAATTCAGAGACCGTCCTCCTGAGATGAACAAAAGCCTCAGCAGTTTGAAGTGGCCTGAAACAACATCTGTTATGAGCATTGTTTGAATACGTTTCACAAAATGTCAAACTAATCCTATAACATAAAATGTTTGCTGCATGAATAAAGAGACTGGAGCCTTCTTTGCATAATAGGCACAACAGTATCGATTCTGATTGACCGACAACATCTGCTCCTTTAATTCCAGTGTTGCAAACTCTCATTTGTGGAGATTTGTAGATTTGTTATTCAGTTGTGATGCATGGACTTTAGTTTCAGTTAATACAGTATAACACTGCAACATCTTCTTTTCAAAGTTTAGACAAATAGGAAACTGGAGCTCTCCGAAAAACAATGCTGATGCCTTTGTTAAAAGGCATAAAAGAACAAAGATGCACCTGAAACTTCCTACATCACAACAGAGAAGCTGAGCTACATAAAGCGATACCAGCACATCTACTGATGACTTCTCTGAAGCTATTTTAGTTGACAAAGAGACCACCAATCCCATCTGACATCTCCAAGACTCCAGGCACTCTTCTGTTAAGATGTCCAGCTATTTTATGCTCGTTTAGCTTTTGTGGCCCTTAATAAGCTACACACTTCCACCAAAGCTGAGATTGAAGCCATTGAGGGGCCCCTCTTTGTGTCACGCCTTGCAACAGACATCTGGACTCCTCTTCTGTTCCCTAATTTCCAGTCCCATTCAGGGGGGACAAAGGAGAGCAGGCGTCTGGCCGTCCAAAAGTCACTCTCCATCATGTTGGGCGCTCGCAGCCTGACATGGACACAATGAGGTGGAGAGAGAAGAAGAAACGGCACAGAGGAACCGGTCTGGTGTGTGCTGGATGAGGGGGAGACATTGAAACAGAGATCTTACCCCCATGGGAGCCATGTTTGTCCAAAGGAGGAGGACAGAGGCCGGGCACCAGAGGCTCCACAGGGGCCCGATTATGGAGGGATGGGTGTGAAACAACAGCTGTTTAGTAAATCAGAGAGGGGATGCTAAACAGCAGCACTGCAACGATCTGAAGTGCATGCACGCTCTCCATCATCATCATCATCATCATCATCATCATCATCATCATCATCATCATCATCATCATCATCAGCAACAGAAGATGTTGAAACTGATAAGGCCTGATGATGGCATTTTTCTGTATATTTATTTATTTGTTATATATTTCTTCAGCTTATTTTTTTGGCTTGTGGCCAGTTAAAATGAACTATGGAAGAACCATGGCTCAAAGGCAAACAAGCTATCATAATTTAACCTATTTCTGTAAAGTTGAAGGAAAACATATTGGAAATTCTTAATAAAATATATTTGTGATAATCATTTTATGACCACCAACCACCTCATAAACCCAAGGTCAGTATATATGCATTATGACTTAAACAATAACACCGTTTTAAATGTCTATCTTTATATTTGACTTTTTGGGGGGGATTGTATGCTGTTATCCAATATCCCAACCCTTAATTTAAGAATATGTTTAAATTCTGACCTAAAAACGACACTTTAATCCAAAACCAAAGGATCATTTTAACTGAAACTTGAAACCCTAACCCAGAAATAACTCTTCTTTTATTAGTCTGATCTCATCCCACCATGTAGAGTGGACTGTTTGGTCCTCATATAGTTAAACACACACGCTCTGGGCACAGATGTGGTCTCTGTCTCTTTAAAACCCTGGCTCCTGGAGGAGAGGATTTGTTGAGGAGTGTGTGCAGCGCTTTATTTTCGCTCAAACTGACGCTGCAACCTGCCACTGAGCAGACACACACACGGAGGGAATAATTGTTTTATGACCGGGCTAAACATTGTTAAACCTGATAATGTTCTGCTTTCAGTAGCGGCAGGACATGTTGGAAAGAAGAAGTGTGTGTGACCATGCGGGGATGAAGAAGTGCTGCTGCTGACTTTTGCTATTGGGTTTCTCGGGGCGCTGCTGCTAATACTGCTGCTGCTGCTGCTGTCATGGCTTTGTGGGAGTGACGCGAAAGTTTTTTTCTTGGGGAGGATTTTACTCGCTTGAAATAGTCCAGCTGAGGCTCAGACTCCTTAGACGGTTCAGTTGCATCTAGATTTAGTATGAGAAAAAAAAACCATGTGATTTCCCTGCTGGAGGTTTGATTTAATTGATCATTTGAGTGGACTGTCGAGAGTCTGCAAACTCGGGAGAGTGTGGAGATGAACTTTGGAAATCTACTTATTGTGACTGTCTCATTCATCACCACCGCATCAGGTATGATATTATATATTTAAAGCACAAATTAAATATGCCCACCCCTCTCCCTCTGTCTCCTCTCACGCACTCTACTCAGCCCATATGGCGTGACAGCCTCACGGTGTACTCGTCTTATCTTGTTTTCTGTCCCTTCAGATGGATGTAAATGTTGTGTTTAGCTGGAACACGTTCACAGACGGCTGTGGCATGACCTACCTAACAAACAAATAATTAGGCACATGCATTGATTTGTACTATTTGAATACCACTAGGTGAAAAGCCAGGAAGATGCACATTTCCCCCAGAGCCCCCCCCCCCCCCCCCCCCCCCCAATCACTGAGGTGGTCACACAGGGAGTCCATTAGGCAGCAGGAGAGGTCAGAACTCACTGTGGACAAAGTGAAACCATTTAGTGTCCCTTTTACTTCAGCTATGAGCACATAAACTCAGTGGCCTATCAAGCCTCCATCTGCCCCAACTCTGTTTTAGAGGATGCAGACATAATTATTATAAAATGCTTTTAAAAGCTCATTTTGATTACCTTTTGAGAATGGGATTATATTTGTTTAACCCTTGCTTTAATAACAGATTATATTTTTGAGCCCTAATCCAAACTCCCCCAAAAACCATGGCCCAGAAAAAAAATTCATGAGAGTGCAGAGTTTTTTAAAATTTCATTTGATTGTGAATGTAAAGATTGAATGGCGTGTTTCCGTTTTAAACTCTTATTAATCAAACGCAGCTTTAGCTAGGGGATATGAAAGTAAAGTTAAACATATTCACTGCTATCATTTAATTCCCACTCATGCTGTGTTTTTTAAAACCTAAATTTAAAAATCTGAAAACATAATATCAGCAGCTATTTACACAAACTCATACACAACATTTTAGATTGGGTTTTATTTTACCACTAGAAGCGCAATTGAGCAATTTTTTTGTGGGTCCCTGTTTTGTTTTTGAATTTGAACAAGTAAGCTACATGGTGTCACTGTTTACATCCTGCCAATGGTTTAATGAATTGCTGATTGGGATTTGGTAGCCATAACAGGCCAAAAACAGTTAAGAAGAAGGTTTGAAAATCAGCACGTTTGTTAGGCCTCAAAAATACCTAAAATGGGATCTTGTGAGAAACACTGAATGCCAAACATATTATTTTTGTTTACAATAAAACTGCACATATATTTTCTGAATTGATATTAACTGGGGGAAAACAAATCACTGACATTATGAACTGTTAGCATTGCTACTATATCTACAGATATATTAGCAACATTAGCATTCATTTGGAGTTGTGTTTCTCACCAGGTGGCATTTGTAAGTCCAATATTCATTTTCTTTGGGCTCTGTTTTTGGTGTACAGCAATTCATGACTAAGATATCTAACCCTCTCGCTGCTCCATTATGTTCACCAGCTGGTGGCTTACATTGTTTGTCTGCTGTTTGGTGCTGCAAATATAGCATGAAACAAGATGAAGTTGAGAGTTTATTCATGGTAACATCTGCAAAGTGGCGTTGTAAAAGCACTGATAAAAGCAGGTTCTGTAAACCCAAAACAGAATTAGGACATAAAGCCAAAGGTTTTCGTAGAGCTGAGGGAATCTGCAAAGCTGGGCGATAAATATTTGTGTTTCCATATGCGTCCCTTACACATGTTTAGAATTAAGGCTGCACCTACAAATTGTCATTACTCCGCAGATTATTTTCTACATTATTCGTTTGGTCCACAAAATGTTAAAAAATGTGTGACAAAATTGAAAATCCAGTTTCTTAAAGTCTGAGGTTATGTCTTAAAGGTCCCATGTCATGGCTATGCATTTCTCTGCAATCCCAACTCGTCTATTAGCAGCGTTCAGGGAGCTCTATGCAAGTCAATGGGGACTCCCTGTTAGTTAGCCAAGGGATCCTGGTGTGTGAGGTGCTCCGCGGATTGGTCCATTTGGGCCAATCCGGTCATTTGTTGTTGATTTGGGTATTCACACGTCACAAAACCCAGGAAGAAAACAATGGAAAATGAGAAATCTCCAACGAGGCGTTTTGGGGCATAGACAGGTATTTTCTGTGTTAGAGTTTTACTCGCTACAGGATGTACTTTGAGGGTTTGTGACTCTGCAGACCGTTTACATGCATAACAACCTTCATAACACACAAGGGGACAGGTAATAACCGGAAAAGCATGAAGCCCAAACAGAATCAGGTGTGTAATATATACATACAGACAGTATATATTGTGGACAATTTGGGGTGTTTGTTTATGTAACCTCCAAACACAGGCCTCTATATGCATCTATAGGCCTCTGCTTTTTTTCAGTACTGCAATGTATTGTCATTCATTGGCTGACATAAACAATAATACCAATATCTGAAATGAGATAATAACTGCTGATAAATCAACGTGGGCAAACATGTATCAGTCAGTTCAATTTAACGTCTTCTTCACTGATGACTATAATCTGACTATAAATCCTGAGCTCTGTGACTCCTCTTGCCACTCGCTCTGCTTCATTATAATAAACTGATGCCACCTCTCAACATTAAAGGCACTTTTTAACACCCACAACATCTGCCTACGTCCATTGTGGAGTGTATATCTCCTCTCATTCCCACCTCTATTATACTGCACGTACCCTTAGGGTGATGTGTGTTTTAATAAGAATACGGAAGAGTATTCAAACAGGCATCATGACCTCTGCGGGAGCTGCTTTTTAAACAAATAGCCTATTTGTCGTCTTTATTCAAAAGAAAAAAAGAATGTTAAAATCATATATCGGTATGTGTCTTTGTGTCCCGCCGGTTTTTCTCCGTTTGTCTGAAGATGCATGGTGGGGTTTAGTATATGTTTTCTAAATCCACTGTGTGATTGTGAGCTAAAACAACAGCCTCCTTCACAAACTGTGCTTGATTCACAGCAGCTCTTTCTCTGACACAAACACCAATCCAATTAAGACGGCATCAGTGTCTGTCAGCCCTAATGCATCTCATTGAAATGTCCGTTATCTTGAGCTGTATTCAGACTCAGCTTGTTGACATGCTCGACGTGGAACTAATCGATGCTAAACAAGACTTAGCTGGTGATTTGTGTCCACTCTGTCCTCCTGCTCATTACTTGGTGACAAATATGGCTGAAGGCTGACTAAAACCTCTCACAGTCCCTCTTGATGAAACAGTCGTGGATTATGAAACCACTATGTGCCTCATGCTTGAATCATGTTGCCGGATGTTGATGATGCCCCACTTCTGGTACAGTCGCTGATGACATCATGTAGAGATTAGATTAAGGCAAAAGACAACAGTTAACAAACAAAGGCTCAAAAAGAAAAGACTGTTGATAGATGATAATAAAACCTGACTGCTTTGAAATTGAGATTTCTGTGAGACCTTATCGCCCTCCTTCAGAGATTACCTGGCAATGCCAGCATAACTCCTTGAATGTTTTTGCCTTTTCAAGTATGTAAATTAATTGAAATTGGAAAAGACAAGTAAATCTCAGCAGACAGCCACCAACCCCACAGACAAGCTGCCAGCCTTCTGTTCCTGTCTCACTTTAACTTAGAAAGTTGGCCTGTGAGCAGTCTGCCTCAGCCTGTAGACACTTTTTTTTACCAGATTTCAAGCACGGAGGCAGATCTAGCTGCTTGTATGTGTTTCGCTCCAACCCCAGCTGTCATTTAAAGGCACTAAGAACCAAATGAAAACACACGTGCCCTGTGCTTTGTTGTTTTCGATCATTAGGGTGACAGCAGTACACTTCTATCTCTTGGGAGAATTAAAGGTTAATATTTTGAAATACCAATTTTATGAAAGCGCCTCTTGTTATGTAATTCCAAAGCCCTGAATCAACAAGGTTTTCAAGACGTGATCTTGATCAGCCTCCCAGCACATTAACAATGTGTGTTAGATGAGGCAGAAATGTAGAAGACGCCGTGAGCAAACATGTGGGCGTGTGTCTGCGTTTGCAATTAGTACAAATGCTATAGCTTGTCTATCAGAGCCTCATGCAGCACTAATGGGCATAATTTGACTGTGGATGCCTGCTTATTCTGGACTTTTATTTGTTTTTGAATTAATTAATTACCACAGATCAAAAGCAATCATGTCAATTAGGACATCTAACCATCCTTACTCACAGATCACAGAGATAGGCAAACAGCACCATACATACAGTACTGTATATAGACTATACCAGGCATCCTCAAACTACGGACTCCGGTCCGGATCCGGACCGAACCACCACTGTCTCCGGACTCTGAGCAAATTATACTTTTCATATGTATTATCTCTCTGTATTATATGTGAGACATCGCCACAACGCATTCGCAACGAGTCAAAATTCTCCGCTATGTCCACTGCAAACAGCGCTCTGCATGTCTGACTGTTCCACTGTGTTCCACCTGTGTGTGTCAACGCTTTGGTCCAATCACATTCAGCATCCAGTCAGCGTTTTTCCCCCCAAACAATCTGCGAATCAGAGGCACAGTAGGGCGGGTCTTCGCGGAATGCGGGTGGGGAAAATGTGTGTGTCTCTTTCAACCTGTCTAAGTCAGAGCGAGAATTAAAAAAAAAAATTCAGAGCGAGAGTTAACAGCTCATCTAGTTCCATCTGTACTGTAGCTAGTAGCCTAGTTTCACCTACCGGGGTGGCAACTGACACCCTAAAAATAGGCCTTGCCACCCCAGTTGGCAGCTTTGTTTTGAAAGAAAAGTTGTGGCTCATCGGACATTTATGAGAGAAAGTCTCTAATGTCCGAGTGCAAGTGAATGCAGCACAAGATGCACGTCATGTAACCCCTCCCCCGGTCCTGGCGCGAGCGTGGACATACGATTGGCGGCCATTTCATTTTGAACTGGACGGCGCAAAACGAGAAGCATTCGGACCCAAGCGCTGAAGGAATGAGGTATTTGCGGTCTACACTGACAGAGAAGAGACTGTCAGTTTGGCTGTACTCAGCATTGAATCAAAACGCACTAAAGCTGTTGATCTTAATACGTTTGTGAGGCGTTTTGCTGAACAAAATGGTAAT